ACTGCGAAATCTCGGCTGGGAAAACTTAACACATCTTTGCGTCATTTAAAAACAAATGTGATTACTAGTTGGTGCTTGCTAGAATAACTGAACAGTGCTACCCCAAAAAAATATATTCGGACTGTAGCCACACTGCTCCATATAAAACCATAGAAACTGAAATGCTATTTTGCTATTCAGTAAATTAAATTTATGTTTTGCTAAATAACGAATGGATGCTTTCTTTTTCGTGTTAATTCTGTGATTCAAGGTTCCTTTCAGTGGTACGGAAAGGGTACAATGATCCAATACACTAGGGTGATATAAAATTGGGATAGAGACAGGCAACAGTTCGTGGCAGTTTTACAATGTGTTTTATAGGTTACGCACCATACGCATCACCTGAAGTAGGTGTGCCAGCCTGACCTGCATGAGTGCATGGGTGATACACAACTGTACCAGCCAGATAGTACGACACATGTGCAAAACACTGCAGCAGCAACTTGCACGAGTAGAAATGTACTCAAATGAAACACCAGAGAGAAAAAAAGCCCTCAGAAAACAAGAGGGTGCAGGCAGGGGTTCTAAATCAGAACTTTTCCACCAGACCTGATAGGAACTTCATTGTGTGATTGTATGGATAGGTAGGTGTGTACCCACAGTAACAACAGTAACAGACATTCTTGTATATGTCTTAAAGGTGCCATTTGCTATCAAGATATAAGTTTGCTATCATGATGTATGTTTTTATAACACAACAAACATTGCCACAAATACATTTATACACATGGCAGGTGCAATTTAATCTATACAATGAATATACAATTGTTTTTTTTTCTGCGCGGTCACAGGGTGCATTGCAAGAACAGTTGAAGTAATAAACAAGTTTAAATTAAATTTCTCATGCCTCACACTGGCAAAAAAAAGTTTCAAACCTTTGTTATATTCTTAATACATAAATTTTAAATCAAATGTTTAAAAATAGCTGCACTCACATTAATCATTTTTTTAAATCTAAACTGTTCTTGTGTATTAATATGATTACTAATTTTGCTGTAATTGTGTTGTGTTGTTTTTTAGATGTAACTGTGATGGTCTACAGTAAATGATCCCAGGCTGAAATGTAATACAAGTGTATGGCATAGCCAAGGCAGCTTTTCCAGGCATCATGAATAATTAGATACGCTGCAGACAAATAAAACAAGCAGGCAAAGCGACCTGATCGTGATCATTTAATGTGGACTACATCTCCCATAATGCTCTTACAGCCATCATGCTGGCAAAGCTTTATGGGAGAGGTAGTCCACAACATCTGGAGTGCAGACGGTTGCCTACCCGTGGTCTAAAGGCCACACTTAATGTTACTGTTAAAAATAAAGCAATATGCTCTGCAGTTTCATAAAAACACAGTAATTTGTAAACTAGAAAAGCCAGAGACATTGCAAGTATCAAATTCATGTTTTGTGCTGAATCATTTTTAAATTTTGTGTTGAGGATAAAAAAGAAATACAACAGGATCTGTATCGTATCTTGCTATTTATTAATCATAACGAATGTAACGAAAAATGCTGCATCGCTCCATACCCTAATAAACATAAATAGTCAGCTCACCTGGTATGTTCTGAAAAATCGAAGATAGAAAATTCATAGCTGTATTGTTTTTCTTCTTTTAGAGCCAATTGTTTCCAGTTGGCTGAGGACTTTTATAATGCTTGTAATCAGCAGAATCCTCCCTTGATAGAGTTTGACAGACTGTGTGCTCTGTCTAAAGACCTGCATTAGCTGGAATACACTTCAGAATAAAAGCCTGGCTTGCTAGTAGAACCAGCATCTGTGTGTTTTAAAATATAGGCCATCCCTTCATTTTCATTGGTAGAAGAGAGAAAATGCATGATCAGTTCTTTATACCAAGCAGATATAAAAAAAAAAATAATAAAAAAAAATGCATGCCGGCAACACTCTTAGGTTTCTATACAAACTGTTTGTTTAACTGAAATTATTTGCAATTAACAGAGCAATATTTTTAAATTGCAATATTTTTAATCAGGTGTGGATAAAATATGCACTAAGCTCAAAGTCTATACTACGTCACCGACATATCGCTTTAATACAACTGTTCCTGATTAATAATGAGGTGAGTTGATTTAGCTTGATATTTAGAGTTTAAGCAAAATGCTGAGACAATATTTATAGTCAAAAGAAACAAACCTGGAATAATTAATTGATAAATTACAGTCTAGGGTCAGAGTGAATGCGGGACGGTGTTAGGAACGCTGGTATTTCAGATACTCATTTGCTTTCGGTTCCTCCCGAACTGCTAAAGGCTGAGTGATTATAGCTCGCTGTTCGGGTGTTGATTCGAACGTTCTCCAGAAGAAATTGCAGCATCCAAGTAAATTCTCCAAGCAATCAGACGCATACCCAAACATTAGCCTAAACTAGATGAAGGAATTAATTTATTCAGGCCAACTGGACGGTTTATATGCAATTCCCCATTCAAGGGGTTTACCGTGACAAATTCCAGGGCCATTAAGTTTTGAAAGGAAATTGATTTTTGTTAAATTAAGTATATGTTAATATATGAGAAACATGGCATTGCAGGATCCTTCAGCCAGTGTCATTATTTAGTTCACGTGGTAGTTTACCTCACAGTGTACGGTTTGCAATTCCCAAAGTCAGCTTATTTTTACGTTCTTAATTATTATGTTTAAGCAAGATTCACTATTGGAGAATCGGTTTAGGCACCTGTGATGGGTTTCATTTTTTTTTTTGTCTTTTCACATAGTAACAGGTTTATTGACATTTTAAAAATCAATATTTAGGGAATGAAAAAGAACTGTGATTGAATATGCAAATGCAGGTCTGCTTTGGAAAGTGTAAAAGAAGAAACTTTGGCATTATTGGGATATTGTCAGTTAAAGCGACACTATAGTCACCTGAACAACTTTAGCTTAGTGAAGCAGTTTTGGTGTGTAGAACATGCACCTGCAGCCTCACTGCTCAATCCTCTGCCATTTAGGAGTTAAATCCCTTTGTTTATGAACCCTAGTCACACCTCCCTGCATGTGACTTGCACAGCCTTCCATAAACACTTCCTGTAAAGAGAGCCCTATTTATGTTTTCTTTATTGCAAGTTATGTTTAATTAAGATTTTCTTATCCCCTGCTTTGTTAATAGCTTGCTAGACCCTGCAAAAGCCTCCTGTATGTGATTAAAGTTCAATTTAGAGATTGAGATACAATTATTTAAGGTAAATTACATCTGTTTGAAAGTGAAACCAGTTTTTTTTTCATGCAGGCTCTGTCAATCATAGCCAGGGGAGGTGTGGCTAGGGCTGCATAAACAGAAACAAAGTGATTTAACTCCTAAATGACAGTGAATT